CAAGCGGCCGCTGTCGCTCTACGCCAGCCCCTGGACCTCCCCACCCTGGATGAAGACCAGCGAGTCCTACGTGGGGAAGGGGACGCTGAAGGGACAGGCAGGGGACAGGTACCACAAGACCTGGGCCAACTACTTCATACGGTGAGGAGCACCTGGGGGTGAGGGGATGGAGGAGGTACCCGGGGAACCCTCAGCGGTGGCACTGGAGGGACCCTCGTGGCTCGTCTCTGCCCTCCACACCAGGTTCCTGGATGAATACGCCAAGCACAACGTGACCTTCTGGGCGGTCACAGCAGAGAACGAGCCCACGGCTGGGCTGATCAACAACTACCCCTTCCAGTGCTTGGGCTTCACGGCCGAGCAGCAGCGAGACTTCATCGCCCAGGACCTGGGCCCGGCGCTGGCCAACAGCTCCCACCGCCACGTCCAGCTCATCATCCTGGATGACAACCGGCTCCACCTGCCACACTGGGCCAAAGTGGTCAGTGGAGCCAGGGAGATGCTGGGGCAGTGATCTGAGGCAGAATCCCTGTGCCCACGGGGGGCTTGGCTGCTCTGTCCCACCGTGCGAGAGCTGGAGCTCTGACTCTGCTCCCTAACTCTTCTCCCTGCCAGGTCCTGGAGGATGAAAAGGCAGCTCGCTACATCCATGGCATTGGCATCCACTGGTACCTGGACTTCATTGGTCCCATACAGGACACAGTGTTGCCCACTCATGAGCTCTTCCCTGACTACTTCATCCTGGCCACGGAGGCTTGCATCGGGGCCCATTTCTGGGAGCGGGATGTGATCCTGGGCTGCTGGGAACGGGGCAACCAGTACAGCCACAGCATCCTGACGGTGAAGACCCTGCGTCACCCTGTGCAGCAGGCCCTGGGGAGGGCTGCTGGTGAGCTCCCTCCCTTCAGCACCTCACTCCTTGGGCACACATCTGGGTTGTCCTGTTGCAGAACCTGAACCACTTTGTGTCCGGCTGGACCGACTGGAACCTGGCCCTGGACCTGGAGGGAGGCCCCAACTGGGTCAAGAACTATGTGGACAGCCCTGTTATTGTGGACAGCAGTGAAGGCATCTTCTACAAACAGCCCATGTTCTACCACATGGGGCACTTCAGGTGGGTCAGGGCCCCAGGTACGTACTCAGCTGCCTGAGCTCCAGCTCCATAGGTGCGGCAGCAGCTTGTCAGGAGGGGAGCAGGGCAGGTTTGTTGGGAGAGGAGCTCTCGTGGGGTCTGACGCCTTCCCTAGTGTTGCTTCTTCCTTCTGTCTATGCAGTAAGTTCATCCCTGAAGGCTCCCAGCGCGTGGGGCTCGTTGCCTCCAAAGAATCCAAGAAGACAGACCTGGAGTACACGGCGTTCCTGCGCCCCGACGGCGCCGTCGTGGTGGTGGTTCTGAACAGGTGGGTGGCACAGCCCAGTCCCTGTGTGTGGGACCCCTGGCCCCTCACCTCTGGGACCCCATCCCACCGATCCCTGTGCTCTGGTGATGCTCAGGAGCTGCTGCAGGTCTGACCCCCTGCTCTCCCCCCAGGTCCCCACAGAACATCACCTTCGGCCTGGCTGACACGGTTGGCCTCATCTCCGCCGTGGCTCCCGCCAGCTCCA